ATATATATATATATATATATATATATATATATATATATATATATATATATATATCTTTCTCTCGCAGTACGCACTTTTAAATATCAAGGATTCGCGGTTTCTACTAATGTTACTAATAATACTAGTATTTTTCTGCATCCAATGTTACAATGTGTTTAGTGATTTCATTTTTCACAAATCTCGATATGTAATCGCTCTGTGATTCGTGAAAAAGTTCACGCGGAATCTTGACAAGCGGAATTGTGAAAAGTTCCGCTTGAAGTTACATGATTGCTGCCCAGAATCGTCCGTGGATGCGAGCGCATGTAGATGGGCCCACGCCTTTCGTTAAACATTGCGGCGAATGTCGACAGGAACACCAGACGATGCATCGAGGTACTGGAATCCTCAATAGTGCAATAAATGCACTTCCGTTCGAACTGCACATCAATTGTAACGCTGCACTTCTCCGACTCATGCAGTCGGCACACGAATCGAGTGCAGGACAAAATGTAAATCTAAGCGCTCGACCGCTCAGCGGATTCTGCGAGACCCGACAGCTCAAAAAGAGAACACCAAATAGGCGCCAGGTACGGCGGTCCGTACCCACTAAAAGGAATCTGTCACTAAACACTAACCCACGAAATAGTTGGTCTCGCCGACGAGTAGAACTCGTCCTCCGCCCGAACGGCTGACACGAACGACCGGCAGCTCAGCCCTACTCGCGGTAGAGAGGCTGGTTCGCGATAGATCAGAGGTGAAAGGATAGGGCGGCGGTTATCAAAATTAAGCAACCAGTGATATTCTCTGACAACGTTTAATTGTCCGGTAACGGTTACAATGCGTTAGTATTCGGCAGCGATATGATTAGATAATGTGATGAATCCTTGCTCGCGATCGCGATACGGGTATTCGGCAGCGCGTATACAAGTCGTGACCGGCGGAGGTCACGACAGCCACGTAAGCTCTCGGTCGTGTACCAGCTCGTCGGTACAGCACGGCGGATGTTCGGCGGTTTTAATTGATTGAGGCGATACCCGGAGTTTTTTCCTCAACGCGTGAGAGGGACGCGAGCCCTCGCCCTCGCCCAGGAGGACGGCCAAGTCCTCGCTCGTCGACGCGAAAACACCAAATAAATGTCCTCGTTTCCTTCGGAACGGACTCACCAAAGCTATAGCGGAGCGGGGGCAGTCGACAGTAGACAGCGGCGGTCCCTCCGGGCTCATAAAAATCGGACCCTGATGCGGCAGCGGCCTTACGAGTCGAAGTCGAGTCGTCGTCTCCTTTGTTCTATCCTTCTCGGCTCCGCGGATGGCACGTCCTTTACAATTCTCCGTGCTTCGGCGGTACCGGCGAAAAAGCTCCCGAGCGGTCGTTGAAGTCCCATTATATCCCAGGTTTAAACCGTTTTCTGACACCCTTTGGCCTCTCATTGGTGGGATATAATCCCCCATTTTCCAATTTCTGATTCTTAGAGACTGTTTTCCTTTCGTCGATTCTCTGAGCTTCTTAGTCCGTCCGACCTTGGCTTTAGCTCTTTCTCGGCAGCCGTTGTTTATGGCGGTCCACGAGCCTCGCGGCGTCTTCGCGCGGCTCGGAGGACGCTCCGGGGCGCGGAGGATGCGCTCGCTAGCCTTGCCCTAGCGGCAGCTATCCTCCGCTCGTCCGCGGTGTCAATCCACTCCGTCCTTGCAGCTTCTTTGCGACAGCTTGTGACCGCTCCACTTCGGCAGCTTTTCTTCGACGTTCTGGATGTTAGCTGAAACAGGCCCTTTTTAGAGTGTCCCACCCTGTGGGTCCCTACTGAATCTTATTATTTACGGAAACGATTCACCTGAGACAACCGGTACTTCTGCCGCTCCTCTCGCAGGTTCTTCCTCTCCCACGGCGGCAGCAGTCCTCCTTGATGGTGGTCTTCTTCTTCTTGACTCAACCCCCCCGATGACCGTATTTTCACACAAAGATTATTTGAGGGCTGCGTAGGCTCGCGTCCTATTCGCCTCACGGCTAGGACGCGACATCCGCCTGCAGCCGGGAAGCTCGTAAGGCTTCCTTATTATGGTCTAACGAGTGATGGACGATAATTAAGAATCGTCACGTCACACAATATTGCGGCCCCGGTATCCCTTTGAGCAAACGATTGGCTCGCGGTGATCGCGGCATCAATCCGCTAGACACCGCTTGTCGCAAACACGATATCGCTTATTCTCAAAGTAACGATTTTCGCGATCGATGCGCGGCCGATCGGCAATTGGCCAAGGAGGCGCGCGATCGCATAGTCGCCAGTGACGCAGAATTCGGCGAACGACTAGCAGCGACGGCCGTATGGGATGCCATGAAAGCGAAAACCAAATTAGTCATGGGCGCGGGTGGCAGAAGAAAAAAAAGGACGTCGACGATGAGACAACGAGGAAGACAACGACAACGACGAAAAGGAGAAGGACGAGGAGAACGTTACCGTTAGCGAAACGTGGAGGTCTATTGCCGTTTTTTCTCATTCTGGGCGCGATCGGATCGTTGATCGGTGGTGCGGCTGGTGACAAAAGTGATAAACGACAGCAAGAGCGCGCGTCGGCAATTGGAAAAGTTGCAACGACACAATCGTGCTATGGAGGGTCGTGGTCTTTATCTCGCTGCGTATTGCAGACAAGGCACGGGTGCGATAAAGACGAGGAGAGAAAAAGTATCGTCAAACGAAAAAAATAAAAGAAAAAAAAAACATTAGAAAGAGATAATGACGACGACGGCTGTCATCGCCTGATTACCTGTATCAGGCGTAACCACGAACACACAGTTGGATGCGTTCGCACGCCATCTGCGAATACCGCATTTTAGAGAGGTTTTCATGCGCGACGCGTTACCGCGACGCTCATTACGTAACGAGTGCATCATAGTGAATCTGGATGACGCGGTGTCAGCGGGCACGTACTGGATTGCTTGCGCCAGGAAGGGCAATCGAGCAATCTATCTTGACAGTTTCGGAAATGTCAAATTATTCCTTAATACTGATTTTTATCCCTATGACGATATGAATTTGGATTTTAACATGCGCAAAATCGCTATATTATACGACATGTACTCGCGATTTCGGAAGACCTATTACAGCCTGGAAACGAACGATGTATATTTGACCTTGGAGAACTTTTTGGAATACGATCCTTTCATCGTGATCGATTGTTCGCGTCAGAACGAATCCATCAAAGGC